TTGTTAGGGGGTTGGTTTTTTTTTCTAAGTTCTGTCCATGTGTCTTGAAAATGTCTGAATGCTGATAAATGTTGCCAATAATTTGTAACTCAATTTCTTTATTTATTAGTTTTCCTTAAGCCCCTGTCACACAGTGCCGTTGTCTAGCCCTGCGTGTGATACGATGGTCACAACCAAAAAAAATATTGAAATGTGGCTATGAGGCGGGAAATTAAAACAATTATGGCTCCAGCCTTGGATCCCAGACCATAATCTGTGTGTGCCCCGTCCTCGTCCAGGCCAAGTCATTCTCAGGCAGTTATATTCAAGACAAATCTGGCTCATACTCCCGACGCAACGTGCATAGCGCGCGAGCGCCCTATAAGGCGTGCACTCTTCAAAATGCGCGCACAGTACGCTCTGTCGTTTACGGTTCAACGTTCTCCATTTTGCCCCGCCCCTTTTTAAAAAACCTTGCTGGGCTTCTTTAGGGTCTCTCACAAAGAGATGTCTCTCCCAGTTTGTAGTGGACCAGCCAAAGTGGAATGTTAAACTTTGGATGGCTTTTTTTGGTAATAGCAGGCAACCATGTCAGATCAATCAGTCAAAGGATGGAGAAGACAATGTAGGTTGATGCCATCCTTAATTTTGACCCAAATATACCTAATTTGCATACATTGTTAATCCCCGTTGTGTAATATATTTATTCCCATATTTGGGTATATTCTACATTTTGGGGTTTTTTTTGCAAATTTTATTTTGGTGATTCTACTTACACACCCATACTGAAATATCATTTTCTTTAAGCATAAGTGGGTAAGTTATAAGGACAAACCGGTAGTAGCATTCCAAAATGGCTACTATTATACCCAAAAATTGGGTGCATTTACCTTGTCTCCAGATATCATCAAGTAGTCTTGCCAAACCACAGTATTGATGAGCATCAAAATTCACCAAGTTGCTTACTGCCACAGTGTCCCTATTAAAACCTTACGGAAAATCATGTGAAAAATGATAACATTGTGATATTTAGCTCAGCAAACAAAAACGGGGGAAAATGAGCTAGCTGTAGGTAAACTGGGCTTAAAACAGGGAAGGATCACCTAACGTGGGAGACTTGAATAAGACCAAGAAAATCCTCCCCCCCCCCAAAAAAAAAATAATAATAATAATTATAATTAGGTCCAAGTCAAAATGTTTTCTGTTCATTAATTTTCATTCCAATAATTGAAGGAATTTCCTCAAACTTTTTCAGTCTCCCACGCTAGGTAACCCTTCACTAATTAGGCCAATTAATGTTTTCCCCATATTTGCTTGCTACAAATGTAGGCTAAATATCATAACGCCATCATTGTTCACATGACTTTCCATATTAAATGTGCAAGTTAGCAACTTGGTGAATTTGAAGCTCATCAGTACTGAGGTTTGGCAAGACTACTGCTCGCAACTTTTGGGTACATAAAGGCGTGCAACTGGGAATTTAGAAAAAACAAGGAAATTCAAAACCACACAAGACTTTGTACAGTGTGCTTCATTATGCAATGGCATTCATGAGAAGTAAAAAAAGAGGAAATCAGCGGATCCAAGGAAAAGTTGCATGCCTGTTTATAGTAGCCATTTTGGATCGTTACTATGTCCTTTCAATTAATCAGTCACTTATGTATGCTGTAGAACATCTTATTGAAGTAGGCCCTAATGGGTGTATTTAAAAATAAAATTTTCAAAAATAAAAAATAAAAAATACCGGTATACCCAAATATAGGGGAAAATGAATTACACGGCAGGTATCGGTATTAATGATTTATGCAAACTAGGTATATTTCGGGTCAAAATTAACGATGGCATCCACCCACATCTTGTTTGTTATGGTTCAAATAATTGATCTACCTGTAGCATGGATGCCAGCTATTACCCCAAAATGCAGTGACATTATTTTCTAGAGAACTTTTCCACATTTAACTGGCCTTTTAGCATACCTGTACATGTACATGTACATGTATACCCCTGTTTTCTTTTGATGTTTGTTAAAGGGAAGATACAACATTTGCAAACATCAAAAAACGAAATGATCAAGTTATCACGAAATACCTAACCGGATTGTTAGGGAGTGACAGTTTAAAGCATCCTGTAAAATCATGGCTCCTTCTGTGCTCACAATTTCAAGAAAAATTGTATTTTTCCAACGCTGGTCGGCCGACCAGCGTTGGAGAAAACTGGCTTTTTTCAAAACTGCTTCTAAATTTTCATATTTATCTATTTCGCATTTTCTTTGCAATTGATTACACACCTGTGAAAAGGGTACAAGCCTGTTAGACTGATTATCTGACCTTATAATTCCCCAAAATCTATAAATTGCTTCGTTTCATCTTACGTGGGGTCAGGAAACCAGACTACAAGAACATGATTGGTTTTCTTGGTTTTTCAAGTATCTACAAGCCCAAAACGTGAAAGAAGTCAGTTTAACAATATTTTCTATCACGTACTCCTCCAAATCCATTTATGTCGGAAAATTTCAGCAAAAGCAAATGTTGTACATTCCCTTTAAATACAAATATGTCTACATCGTGTGCGTCCTTAACTGTTGAGTATTTTAATGTTGTAATTGAGTCACCAGGTGTGAATGACAATGAATTAATCATGCTTTAGTCTATGATACGTTCAATTATTTGTTACATACTGCAGGTACCAGTATGTACTTTTTAAAAATTATATGGATGGGAAAATGGCTTGTTTATTTGACGTGAGCAAACACAAATACTTGAATAAACAATGAGAAACGTGTACACACTATGAAATACAATATTTAAAGTACTTTTGGGGTTTCTTTTATAGGTTTCTTTTTTTTATTCCTCTCAAAATATACAATTATTTTTTGGGTTGCTTTTGCACCAACAACACACAAAAGACGTGCCAAATTATTATTGGCCTGCAAATAATTCAAACACTTTTAAAGTAATGATTCCACTTTGATTTATAAATCATTCAAAAGAGAATAACTTTTGTATTGCTAGAAAACAGTTTTTAAAAGAAATCTATTTTTAAAGGGGCACTAGGTCCTGAAATCCCCGAATATTTCATATTTTGGATCGTTGACCTATTTCAAACATCTGGTTCTAAGGAAACTAACCTAATGTCTTACCGTTCCCGAGAAAAGACATAAAAACCTCGGTTGTTTTAATACACAGGACACAACGGAGTACGAATATGCCTTTGCTGTCGTTTTCACTTTCAGTCAATGTACGTACAATATGTACAATGTACAGCACAAACAGCGCACGGTGACCAATCACCAACGCACAAAATATGGTTTCTTACACGTCCGCAAAAGGCGAATCACTTTACAGATGAAATCACAACTACCATCAAAATAGCTCGAATTTTTGGGGTCGCTAAAGTGGACCCGAAATTCGTTCACACACGCATAATACAGGAATAACACAAAAACGCCCAGATTTGAAAGGATAGCTGTGTGGATGTTGATACCACCACCTTTCTATAGGGTGCGCTGTTCAAAGCGGATGATATGGCCACTATCGGACAACAGGTGGTGCTCTTCATCCAAGCATATTTGCTGATAGACACACAATTTTGCTGACAGGACGATTTTGCCGACAAAAAGGATTAATGGGGATCCCCCCCCCCCCTACACTTCCCTTCTTGCTACGCCTGTGTGCCCAGCACCCGATTTCATCAAACTCTTCGTAACTTATGATGCATCGCAGCACTGCGACGCGTCGTAACCCTACGATGCGTCGCAGCTGCGAGGCGTCCTACGATCCATTTCACAAAACACGTCGTAAGTGCGACGCGTCGTAGGTGTATTTATAGCACAACTCGGTGACTGTTTCATGTATTTAGTCGGCGTACAGTAAAAAGTCGTCTGATATTCAACAAAGAGTCGTCGGATCTCAGCTTGAAATTTGTTAAAACGTAAAACAAAATGGCAGTCGTGCGATGCAATTTTGAAGGAAAACAAGCTCTCAGTGGACTGTATAGCTACTTTGAAATTTCAACTGCAATATTCCAGTCTAATTCATAATTATTCATTGAATTTTCTATTTACAACTTTACACACATTGCCTCGGTATTATAATTTCGTTTATGTAGTGTTTATGGCATTAAACTGGCTAAGAAAGGGACTCTTCTTATTTTGCGATGACCACTAGACATGTCGTAACTTGTGACCGTTGTCAAGGAACTTACGACGCGTTCAACACATCGCAACTTTCGTGAATGGATGATACGACGCGTAGTGAGTTGCGACGTGTTACACGTCGTACATGTAACTCGAGTTGCGAAGCGTCGCAGCGCTTCGTGAAATCGGGTGCTGCTCTCTTCACAAGTGACAGTCAGTCAGTCAGTGCGATGGGTACAAAGCAGGCTGGCCCTACAGTGGAAACCGGCGACCAGAATTAGAAGCTTTTACTACGGTGGTGTCAAGCTCACGCGCATGCTGCACTTGTTCTTAAAGACGAGGCGCACACGCATTTTGGTATTCCTGTTGGTCAGGGTTCGACCTTAACTTTTTTGTTCACTAGCCAGCCGGGCTACTGAACCAGCCTCTTAACTAGCCCGCGGGCATTTTCACTAGCCCGCATTTTTTTTTAGCTCAATTCTGAGGCAATTTCGCACTGTTTTTAAATATAAACAGATCTTATAATTTAACCTTTTAAAACAGTTGAAAAAATGAGACCCAACTTGATGAGGTTTTCTTTCTGAATTTAATGATTTATTTGCTCCTGTCCGTTCATCTTTGCAGTATCCAAATAATATTTTGACTCGCCAGCCGGGCTACTTATTAAAGGAATAGTTTGACTAGCCCGCCGCCGTTTTGACTAGCATTTGGTTAGTAGGCCACCGCTAATTTCGAACCCTGCTGTTGGTCGAAGGAGCCTGGAGTACGCGCATACTCCCCGAGCGGGACTCCTGCGAGCCATGCACCACCGCAGAAAATTGCTGCCGCCGGATTTGTCGATAGAACCAGTAAAAACTTCTAAACATACAAATTGTGTCCTACTTACAATGTTTGCCTGGCGCGCCTCCTCGATGTAGTGGGTGGTTAGGATGATGGTGGTGTTCCAATCTTTCACAAACTCCAATAAGTGTTCCCAGATCCTGTCGGGTTGACATTTGAAAAGAAAAAAAAACATTATTTGTTTACCCAGAAGTACATGTAAATGACTGAATTTGATTTCTGGTCTGCCTTGAATGGGATTTTTTTTACATGTAAATGTACATGTTGTAAATTAAATGTAGGTGCAGGGTTCATTAGATGAAAAGTTTCAGCAATGGGCCGCAAATCCTTGTGTCCGTCATGTGTTAAGCATAGTGAGCAATGCGTGATGCGCAAGAAAAGCTCGAAAAGCTACGCACATACGTCCATGTTTACATATCGCACACTGTGTTGTCTGTACTGTCTTTTCCGTTGAACTTGTATACCTTTCAGGTAGCAATTGAAACAGATGACGTATCCAATACGCATGCAATTTTTTACCTGCAACTTAAAGGAACCATGAAGTGGTGGGATATTAAATTAATGGCTGACCTAAAAAGGAGTAGGACCTTTTTGCTAGAAACCATCGTCCAAAATCCTCTATAATTTTGCACTTATGTTCAAATGAAGGATACCCAGCACCTCAATCCTTCAAAATCATCTCAAAATGCATTCATCCTCAATCCTCCAAAATACTCATCTTCTTCAAACACCTTTCATCTTAAATCCTTGTGTGCTAAAACACCATTCATCCTCAATCCTCCAAAATCCTCATCTTCTTCAAACACCTTTCACCCTCACTCCTCCAAAATCCTCACGTTTCTCAAGCACCATTCATCCTCAATCCTCCAAATCCACAGCTGCCAACTTTTCAAAATCCCAATTAGTAATCAACCCGCGCGGTCATTTTCAACTGCTCGTATATTAACAGTGTATGTACCAGCTTTACCAACATCGAGTACAGGTACATGGTTTACATGAACAGATACATGTGCATACCCTTCTTGTTGTGATTGATAATTTACTGTAGGCCATCAGATATTTTAAAAAAAAAATAATAATAAAATTTTTAAAAAAAATTAATAAAAAAATAAATAATTAATTTTGTTACTGTCTGTATTTGTTAGTTGAAGTAAAATAAATAATAACAATAATAACGTGCGCATATTTTTTTGAGATGCATGCTATCAATGTTGAGTTTCGAGTTCGTATCATGTTTTTACACACAATGATTTAGGGCCACCGTATGCAATGGAAATATCCCGCCAACATACCTTGCAAACGCATGCTGATTTATCTTTTCTGGACGTTGTGATAAACTCAAACTCTATTACCAATTCTTCCAACCATACCCTTATTAAATTCCATATCAAAATCTCGCACTGATGGGTCTCATCCCGGCAATAAGTGACCAATTGTGCTCACGATTGTCACTGAAAAGTAGTCACAGTACACACAACGACACATCCACGAGGTGCACACAAATGACACACCACTGAAAAATATTTTTTGTCTGGTCCTCAAGTACTCCACTGCGCACACCGCATTGATGTCTATCAGGTGCTTGACTGCATTGCTTATTAGACTTGTCACCAGTCCATCCATTATCGTAACATTTCGGGCAAAAACGATTCTTTTCAATTTTTTTTTTTTTTTCGTTAGGTACAAAATGGGAAATTCGTAAATTTTTTTGTGGCAATTCGTATTTTCGTAATTTAACAAACAATTCGTAATAATTACAAAAAATTTGTAATAGTTGGCAGCTATGAAAATCATCATGTGCTTTACAACAGTATCAGGCATGCAATTGGGAATTTAGAAAAAACGAGGAAATTCTAAACCACACAAGACTTCGTACAGTGTTTTTCAATTTGTAATGGCATTCATGTGAATCAAAAGGAGTTGTACGGGTATGCCAACACCATTCATCCTCAGTCCTCCAAAATTCTCATGTTTCTCAAGCAATGTTCATCCTCAATCCTCCAAAATCCTCCAAAAACTGCCAGGAGGATTTTGGAGGATTGAGGAGGGTTAGGCTTAACTTTACTAATTTAACATTTTTCACATGATCCCTCAAGAAAGTGAGAGTCTGAGTGGAACTGATAAAACGATAAGTAATGCACTCAAATGCGCTGCACCTCATTCGGAGTAAGGGATCCACTCCAACCGTTGGCTCATCCAGAATGAGTAGAGGTGGGCTCTGCACCAGGGCTGCGGCGAAGGACACCCGACGCTTCTGACCACCACTAAATGGGCGTGGCATGCATAAAGAGGGAGGGTGAGAAATAATAAAAAGAAAGAAGATTCTAAGAAAACTGAAAATTAATACAGTGGAACGCCGCTATAACAAACATCGCGGGATCCACAGAAATTGCTCGTAATAGCGATCGTTCGGTGTAACCATTTTAAACTGCCGGTGTTCCGGTACTCACTTTTCAATAAATAGCGCCCTTCAAAACTTCACCCTACATGCCTGGTAGTTACTGAAAGACGACTTTGAACACGTGCTGACTACTGAATAATGTAATTACACAGGTTTTTTTTTTAGTTTACTACCGGTGCCTACAGCAACGGGTGGCTTTCCCCTTCTATTCCTTGAGGGAAATGCACGTAATAGCCACTTGTCGCTCCTTGAGATCTGTTAAACATTTTTCAACGACAATGTTCGATACGTTTTGCACACAAAAATCGGGAGCCAAGGATGATGTTCGGTATAGCTGAATGTTCGGTATAGCGGTGTTTGGGGGACGTTTCACTGTACAGTATTTTGTGAAGAACGACCACATTTTTTTTCAAATCCTTTTGGCCAAGACTAAAGCCGAGCAGAATGCAAAATGTCTACAATGCCCATTCTGGCACTTTGATTTAAAAATATTTGATTTAAAAAAAAAAAAAAAAAAAAGGCAAAATATCACTCTGGAACTGAAAGTAAACAATACCTGAGGTTTCCGACCATTGACTTCATAGAAGGCAGATCCAGCAGGCTGATCAGAAAGGCCTTCCTTGCCTTGAGGACGTCCTTGGGCATCCGATGGATGGTGCCAAAATAGTTGAGAGTCTCGCTGATGGTGAAGTCCTCATACAAAGCGGTTTCCTGGATTTACAAATAAAATTAGAACTCTTAGGTACAAACTTCATCTACAAAAGGTGCACCATCATGTGGAGTGCTGTGGCCTCGTGGTTAAGGGCATTGGGCTGCGGGTTGTGGGTTCGAGTCCAGCCTGGGGTCATGGTGCGTGTGCCCTTGAGCAAGGCACTTTGTCACTCATTGCTTCTCTCCACCCAGTAAAGCAGGAGTAAATGGGTACCTGTGAGGTGATTGAATTAGCTTCTTTACCCCTAACAGGCTGCATCAAGCTGTATACTCCCCAGGGAGCTGAGATGGTATTTGGAATGTTTCATGGGCCCAATGAGCAGGGGTAATAATGATGAAGCGCCTTGAGCATCAGTCCTGTTGGATATGTGCGCTTTATAAATACCCACTATTATTATTAGCAATCTGGTTTAATCCTTTGCTGGCATACATGTATTTATAAACATGGTCAGTATATCGGACAGCCAAACAAAGCGTCGTTTGGCTGACCGATATACTGAGCACCTTCAAAGTGTCCGACTCAATCTCCCCGGACATCCCCACTTCTTCAAGCCACTACACATGTGTGACGACATGCGCGTGTGTGTCCTGACCATGACAACATCCAACGCTCAGTGCTTGGAGATGGAACAACGCCTCATTTACAGGCTCGGAATGCTCACACCAGGCGCTTTGAATGCAGAAGTTTCTGTATTCAAACTGCCAGCCCAACTCCCAGCTCCGATGAAGACCTAGTCAGGCCGAAAATTCAACTCCAATATTCCTGGTGAGCACGTCTTTAACTTATTTTCATCCTATATACTTATCTACAGTGCTACGCAGTTCTGCTTCATTTGGTATACTCAGTGCTCTTCAAGGGCTTTTGAGGAAAGCTCACAGGCTTATTCGGGTGGGACTCGAACCTGTCAATTTTTCTTGCAAGCCCTTGGACAACACAGAGTGCACAATGTTTATGAATACGTTGACGAAGGTCAAAGCCCAAAATAAAATGTACACGCACATTCCATCCGACACTATTAGTCATCTTAATTGTATTTCACCAAATAAACCACAAAGGAAAACTGATTTGTTTTCTCTTTCTGTCTAAATAATTTTTATGCAAAGAAACTGACTGAAAAATAGTGATGTTCATTTTTTAATAATATAGTTTTCGATTAATCAAATTTCAATATACCTGTGTACGCCACGTGCCAACGTAAATCGAACGTGCAAGTCGGAAATAAAAATGGGCTGCCAGTTTGGACTTGCATGCTTCTGTTGAAAATTGACAATGGGCTAATATTCAAATATTTGGGCTAATATTCAAATATTGAAAATATCATGTAGGCCTATAGTTTGTACACATCAATATATTTTTCTGACAAAATTGATGTCACTAGGGCTGTCAATAATCGAATAATTTAACATTCGATTATTCGAAACTGAGTTTGACCAAATATTTGAATATTCATAACTTTGCATTATGACGTTATGGGTTGCTGGAATGTTTTGCAGTAAGTATTGTACAACTGTCAAGGGCTTTCACCTACTAAAAAGATGAGTACAATGAACCACCGTTAACAAAAAAGGTTGCTGTCGCCGCCGACAAACTGGCGTCTGACAATAAAATGCCCAAACTTTACAATTAAAATAATGTCATAATTGTGTACATGCATGGGTTTTTTTTCTTTGGAATATTCAAACCGAAAAAATCTATTCAACTATTTTGTTGATGATCGAATATTTGAATATTCGGTTTATTCGGGACAGCCCTGGACCGATTTGGTCAGGCGAGGCCCGTGGAAGAAACCTTTTTCTCCCCGATGAATCCGTACCTGAGGCATGTATCCCACCATGCTCCCCGGTATCCCGTGCCCCCTGGTTCCCGGCGCCTTGCCCAGGGTCCATATGGTCCCCTGGTCCATGCTCAGCCTTCCCAGAATGCACCGCAGGAGGGTGGTCTTGCCGCAGCCGCTGGGTCCCAGAAGCCCGTATCTGCAATTTAGAAGTACAAATAAAAGTTACAGGTAGAAGATCATTTGCAGCTATCCAAAAAGTAACTGACGACATTAAGCCTAACTCCCTAGCATAATTTACTAGTAACCATACCCACTCTGGCAAATTCCAACACCCACATGGGAAATTGTACACACACACTGTTGGACTTAGTTTCTGGAGGTATGCCACACCCAAAGTAAAAGACCATCAGTTTAGGGGTACTGTACTATCCCAACAGATTTCAACAAAACCTGCTGTTGGGCTTTGACGGGTTGAGTTCAGTTAGGGTTAATGTTGAAAATCTTACTTGGTTTAGAGACAGTAATGGCACTGAACCCCTGTGAAATTATTCCTTCTAGCATACTGTCATTTTGAAGAAAACAATAAAAGAAGGCCATTTCTAAAGAAGCCTCAAGTGATGCATCTTTGAAAATTTCCCTGAGTAGTTTGGTCGTAATTCGGTGAATCTGTGAATGGGTGCGTGCAAGTGTTGACACGATGCACACGCGTGCTCGGTTGCTATTATTTGACGGTTCAGTGCATAGTATCGCTTATTACCGGTAGCTGCAATCGGCTGAATGAAAACATGTCCCAGATGCTGATACTGGGTACAATTCAAATCATGACTCAGCAACTTCTAAATTGTAATTGAGATCCTAGATGTTGTTTTCTCGGAACATACAGCATTCGCTGAGCTAATAAACTTCATCAGGTTAGCTGTTAAGCACCCGTCTTTAGGTTTGAAAAAAAAATGCACACATTTAATAAGGGGGTATCTTTAGTGTGATGGGGCAGTTATGTATAAACGTGTGGTTTAAAACCAGTTGGGGGCCTGGCCACCGGTAATGGCCCCAATTTAAACGCTCTTCAGGACAGTAACATTTTTTTACGTGTTGTATTTCACTACAGTATGGCCAATTTGGGTAAACAGAAAAGATGAACGTGAAAAATATGCAAGCGATAACATGGGCCTGCAATATGAAGTACATACATGAACATGTACGCACAGTCGTGTTTTACTATATGCCTGAGGACAACCTATTGTGTTTCCCTTTGTCCCTGTACTTTAACACTTTCCCATAGACTAAGCACGTAAACGTACGATCGAGGACAGTTTCAAACAAAAGCACCGTCGTTCGAGGAATGAAAAGATCTTTTGTTCTTCCTTTGTGTGTCTGTCCTCGAGCGTAATACAAGACAGGAACTTATGTACATGAATGCACGGCATTGTCACACTAGAGGTTCCCTTTTTCTTTAATTTCACGGCCAACCTTACATTCACCTAACTTACATGGTTCCCCGCGGCACCAACATATTCAGGTTTTGCAGCACTTCCAGACGGCTGGTGCCCCGCCCGTAATGCTTCTTAATGTTGATGCACCGCACCGCAGCGACGACATCACTGTCCTGTGTCATGTTTGTTTCCCCAGAAGTTCAAGTCAATTTCCACAATCCCTCATACATGTAGGTCATACCGGTACAGTGTACAAGTCGAACCTCTGCAATGCATACAAGAAATACCCTGAAATATGAACAGAAGCAAAGTGTACAGTATTAAGATTCATATTGACAAAATGGCAACAATGGACAATTACTTTTTCTTTTCTTCTTATACGTTAAGTTTCAAAAGTTATCCTTTTTGTTTTACAGTTTACATGATTACTTTAAGTTTTTATCTTTAACTGATTACTTCAAGTTTTTATAGTATTTTATACGGGAAGTGGTTCAAGATGGGATGTGTAGTCTTTCCACAACCCATGACGTTGTCAAAAAAATTTAATAATAATAATATAGTTTCTGTGCTTTACAGAAATTGGACCCAGCATAAAAATTGTATTGAAAATTATTGCAAGTATGGCAAACCAAACAATTACAATTGTATTGATAATTATTGCAAGCATGGCAAACCATGGCAAACCATGGCAAACCATGGCAAACCATGGCAAACCATGGCAAACCATGGCAAACCATGGCAAACCAAACAATTACATGTAACAAGTTTGCAGAAGTGATTCTGAAGATTCAAGCATTGATAGGATAGTAAGCCTTCAGATAAAAATCCATGTTTCCCAGTACATTTATGGTCCCCACAAAATAAACAACGATTACTCTGGGATTAAATCTTGCTTTGGGGAAATATTTTAGGCCAAGTAAATAAATACCAGTTGAACGTCCGCGTTTTATCAAAAAGAGGAGGAGGGCCTTCTTTTTAATATATTTTTCCAAGATTCTTTTCAATTTAAGCTCTTTCACGGTAATATGCGCCATCTTGCTTACGGGGCAAATTTAACACTCGTTGATGCATCGTCAATCGCGAAAACTTTTAAGCTTCCAAGTCACCGTGTGTTCATTCCAAAATGCGCCCGTTTCTAGCAGCGCGTACATCTTTTTGCCCCGTGAACAAGATGACTGCATTATCAACAAACCACCCAAGATCACCACTCAGGTAATGGTCCCAAAGATGGATCCATGATGTCGAATAAATGAACTTGTTTTCATGTTTGGGGGATCAAAAAGCTCAATTACCTTCATAATAAAATGGATAAAACTACTATACCGGTAGATCAAAAGATTATGAATTTCAAACGTGGGATCGGAGGGGGTAGGCCTAAATCTTCAATTTCAAAAAGAAAGCGTCAACAACTGCCCATTTTCTTCAAGATTTAAACCCTGCACTTTCGGCACTCAAATGCATTAGGCCCAAAAAAAAAAGTCTCCGGGTTTCTGGTATGGAGCTTGTCCAAAAGTGGTGCGGCGAAGAGTTTTTTTTTTTTTTTTTACCTTTTTTGCTTCAAATGACGGCTGATGACTGCAAATGGTGCCCGACTAAACTTTAGTGCAAATATATGGGAGTCCAGAGAGGCCACATAAAGCTTATTCTCGATCATAACCCCATCTAAAAACACGTTAAAATTGTGCAGCAGCAGGATTCCAGTCAAACCAGTGAGTTTGGCGGTTTTGAGACATCATCTTTCATTGAAAAAAAAACTTTTTCATTTTGCCGACGCGCATGGCTACGGCGACGCGCGTGCATACCAGAAACCGGAGCCTTTTTTTTTGGCCTTATAAATACCGTTACATTTATCCTGTTGAGCTACTTAACTGCTTCAAATACTGCGATAAATGAAGAAAAAAAAATTAAAACCTCAGATAGATTTCCAATGTTGTGTTGCAATTCTGCCACTACACTACCACATAACATACTGTACAGCCATTGAAAAACACATCATGCTTCTGTATGTAAAAATGCGGTAGCCACTTTATTGTGTGAAAATAACTGTAAGGCTTTTCACAAGGACAAGGCCGGGTCATGCACCATTGATCTTTTGATTTTCCCCTGTTATTATATTAAATGGACACTGCGGCCAGGAAATTGGGCTACAAATGACAAAACGCGCTTTGAACAAAATGATGTTAATCGGAAAGAGCATTTAAAAGTACATGTGGGATATACGTATGTAAACATCCACACTTGAAGCACCATTCATAAATACCTCAGACAGTTTAGCTATTCCTATTGGTCGAGAGCCCGTCACGTGGCCGGTCTTAAACGGATGATAAAGACATGGCTAGCTGGTCTTAAACACTTTTCCAGTGTCACAATAAAATGTGGACTCCTAAAAATCCAGTGCCTCTTACCGTTTCATTGGTTGAATGTTCACAATCCTCACGTAGGCATGCGCAACACTACAAGCGAGTCAGAATTTTATAGTTCTAAATTCAAAACGCAACGCCCCAGGTGCGTTCTGCGTGACATCGCGCAGAACATGTTACGCGCGCATCAATCTCCATAAAAGGGTTGTTTACATCTTACTCGCCAGCTGAACACTCCATTATTTTGCTAGAGGGATGTTTCAAAAAGCATGAAGTGAACTTGTTGAACAAAATCGGGATTTTTTGAACGAATTATTTGATATTTTTTTACGGATAAGTTATTTATGAATGGGAATAAATATGTGCTCGGTCGGTATTTATCACTCTGTTTAATACCGCTTAGAGTCTGGGTGCTGATAATTACCCTCGCCTCCGGCTCGGGTAATTATCAGCACCCAGACTCTAAGTGGTATTAAACGAGTGATAAAAACCTCCGGAGCACACATTTATTCCCTTATTTAAAAACTGAGTGTTTTTGTGTTATTCTTGCGTTATTCGAGAGAGAACGAATTTCGGGGTCCACTTTTGCGACTCCCATAAATCCATAAATCAGGCTGTTCAGGCTAGTTGTGATTCCAGCCGTAAAGTTTTCGCCTTCTGCGGACGTGTAAGAAACCATATTTGTGCATTGGTGTTGTGTTTAATTTACATTACACACACAACGTGTATTATATACATTGACTGAAAACGACAGGAAAAACGTGTGCGTACTTTGTCGTGTCCAATGTAAACAACCGGGGTGTTTCGTCTTTTCTCGGGAATGGTAAGGCATTAGGTTGGTTACCTTTAAACCAGATGTTTGAAATAGGAATTATAAGTAAACAATCAAAAAGAAAATTTAATCTAGGGATTTCAGGACACAGTGCCCCTTTAACCACATAAGTACATGTACCGGTACATGTAGCTTCCATAACAAATAACAAGTGGAAAAAAGTCTGGATTTCAAATTTAGGATTTAAAAACAACTTTTCAGAAAATTTAGCATGCATCTCTTACACGCTGCGTGGCTCTGACCATAGAGCAAGGAACATTAAAGGGACACTGTGTCCCAGAACAGCCCAATTGGGCTACAAAACACGCTTTGAACGAAATGATGTTTATCGAAAAGAACATTTAAAGGGAAAATACAACATTTGCAAACATCACAAAATAAAACTAGCAAATCATTTTGAAATACCTTGCTGGACTGTTAGTGAATGACAGTCTAAATCATCCTGTAAAATCATGGCACTTGGTACATACATGTACATGTACATGTATGTATACTGTCATTTTCAAGAAAAGTGGTATTTTCGTATCAATTTCCAACGCTGGTCGGCCGACCAGCATTGGAAAAAAACTGGCTTTTTTCAGATACTGGCCCCAATTGACCATATTTAGTTAGTCCGCATTTGTTTGCAATCGATTTCACACCTATGAACGGGTACAAGCCAGCATGACTGGTTCCCTGACCTTATAATTCCCCAACATCTATGAATTGCTCCGTTTCATCTTAAATGGAGTCAGGGAACCAGACTTCAGGAAAATGATTGTTTTTCTTGGTTTTTATAGCATCTATGAACCCAAAATGTCAAAAAAGTTAATGTAACAATATTTGCTATATATTAACTACCCCCAACTCCATCCATTTCTGAAAATTACAGCAAAAGCAAATGATGTATATTCCCTTTAAAGGTAGGAAACATCCACACAACTATCCTTTCAACACTGGGCGTTTACATTATTTCTGTATTATACGACTTTCGGGGTCCACTTTTGCATCCCCAAAATGTCGAGCAGTTTGGGTGCTAGTTGTGATTTCATTTGTAAAGTGTTTGCCTTTTGTGGACATGCAAGAAACCACATTTGGTGATATGTCACGCTGTTCGCGAGCGCGGTGCTGTATAGACACACACAACGTGTATATCCTACATAATTGACTGAAAATGACAGGAAAAACGTATGCGTACTCAGTACTCCATCGTGTCCAATGTAAACAACTGGGGTGTTTCGTTATTTCGCAGGAACAGTCCGCCACTCGGAAATACAACCCTAAATTCTCTGGCTACGAGGTTGGAATCACTGGAATAGAAACAATTCAAGTCCATTGCCAGCTACGCGGATACTGAGTGGGGGTCCCCTTGAAAACGAAGCAACACAAAATGAATGGCAGTTGCTGAAAAAATTCTAAGTCCAAACCAACTACCCTGTTGCCGGCTACGCGGATACGGAGTGGGAGTGCAGTGGAGCATGACGCATAGTACACCACCTATACATATACCGGGTAGTCGTGTTTCCTAACATGGCGCACTTCGAAGCTTACCCAACTTTCCTCGTGTAGTGTTGCCAAACCTCTTTGTTGACAAACCTCAAATTCATGCAGTGAAATACGGGTCCTTTTACCTTATTAATGCTTGCTATTTAACCTCTGTGAACAATTTCGGTTTCATAAAATTTAATCCGAAATTCAAAAAACGGTGGAGTCCGGAAATTGGGCACAAATTGGCGGAGTGTTCCCTAACGTGGCGCACTTGAATAAATCTCGGAAAATTCCAAATTAACATTTAAGAATTTCTGTAAACTTGATAAATTCTGATAGCCTAAATCATTATTTTCTCTACTTACATACCCAGCCAGATGTTTGTCAGAAAATTATGATCTTATTTTTCGGGGCATTCTCAACGGGTTCACTTTGCACTTGAAAATATAACCGGAAAATCACGCCAAAATAATTTTTCCTTCTAACTTTGTAACAGGTGAATAAACTCGCGATTTATGAACGGGAGTGTTTAGAACTTGATGAAATTTCACTTTCTGTGCAATTTCAGTAAAAACTTTTGCTCTAGCTAGGCGCTACAGGCGAAAAATCAAAGTGCGCCACGTTAGGGGCCGCGCCACGTTAGGGTACTGTAGCGGTGTAATGTACATAATCTTCTATGTTTATATTTGTTGTCAATCTGTATTGTCATTCGTGTCCTGTCAACACCATCCGAACCTGTTTGTAACGCTAATCCCGTTACAGTATAGCTTGAGTAACTCCAGTTGACATGCTCCATATTCATTCACATGTAACGCTGGAGGCAAAACCTGTTCGTTAGAATGTGGTAGCAAAAGACCCTAAAAAAATGGCGTCTCAAAAATTGTTCATTTTCACCTCTAATATCCCACCCCAGAGTTCATTTACATATGTGTACCTCACTCATTCAGCAGTCATTTACGAAGCCTAATGATCGACTTGAAACAGACCACACAACAAAAAGTGAAAAATCTTGACGATTTCGGTGGCTTGTCCGTAAAAATACGCCAGTTCCAACGGCTGTCTTCCATTTTGTTTTGCTAATTATGTAAATGTATGCATCACGTGATGACATCAAAAAAAATCTGCACGCGCGATGTATGTGGTTACCACACCGCTTTCAGGCGCCGCAAGTGAGTTCAATTTTCGTCTGGTGCGTTGTCGCGGAAAGCAAGACAACGACAATGCTCTCCACGGCAACGCACCAGACGAAAATTGAACTCACTTGCGGCGCCTGAAAGCGGTGTGGTAACCAAATACATCACGCGCGCAGATTCTTTTTGATGTCATCACGTGATGCATACATTTACATAATTAGCAAAACAAAATGGAAGACAGCCGTTGGAACTGGCGTATTTTTATGGACAAGCCACCGAAATCGTCAAGATTTTTCACTTTTTTTTGTGTGGTCTGTTTCTACTCCTAGAACTATGAGGCTCCACGTAGTGGAGCCTCATAGGTTCAGAAGCCCGCAAAATTGTTGTCAGCACAAAACACTAATTAAGTACAAAAACGTCCATCCCAAGCAGGCCGTTTTCCACAGAACCGCTGCACAGTTTGCCCCTAAACTCCATACAATACCTCATGACATACTCACGTTATGTGCACCCAACAAACATCGGTGAATTCTGTCTGTTTTTCGGCAAAAATGATGAAAAATATGCCCTTTCCGCACTGAGCCAACCTAACACTTGAAACGAGCACGCGTGCAGAATGATCGCAGTCATTTTCGGTTCGATCGCTCGGAGCGCGCCGCGGGGGGTACGTACTTGCACTTGTACGCATGTGCATACTATCGTTCCGCTCTACACCATACCCCCCGCGGCGCGCTCCGAGCGATCGAACCGAAAATGACTGCGATCATTCTGCACGCGTGCTCGTTTCAAGTGTTAGGTTGGCTCAGTGCGGAAAGGGCATATTTTTCATCATTTTTGCCGAAAAACAGACAGAATCCACCGATGTTTGTTGGGTGCACATAACGTGAGTATGTCATGAGGTATTGTATGGAGTTTAGGGGCAAACTGTGCAGCGGTTCTGTGGAAAACGGCCTGCTTGGGATGGACGTTTTTGTACTTAATTAGTGTTTTGTGCTGACAACAATTTTGCGGGCTTCTGAACCTATGAGGCTCCACTACGTGGAGCCTCATAGTTCTAGGAGTAGTCTGTTTCAAGTCGATCATTAGGCTTCGTAAATGACTGCTGAATGTATGAGGTATGTAAATGAACTCTGGGGTGGGATATTAGAGGTGAAACTGAACAATTTTTGAGAGGCCATTTTTTTAGGGTCTTTTGCTACCACATTCTAACGAACAGGTTTTGCCTCCAGCGTAGCCCGACTGCGTCTGGCCGTACAGTACTATCGCAAGCTCTGTAGTACGGCCAGACGCCCGATGCTTCCACAGAGACTGAATTTTTTGGGCCGCCGATGTAGCGATTTTGCTACATCTTTCGATCGCGATTATCTTTTCATCCAGGACACAAATTTCCAAAGTTAAGGTTCGTAGTCGTAGAGCAACTCATACCTTTTCGAAAAAACGTTCTTTGGTCTCAATATTTTCATCCATCTGGCCACAAGACGAATTTCAGTCATCAGATTCCACAAATATCGTCCCCCATGCGATCCCCCATGCGATTTCAAAATGGCGGCCGCGCTGTAATGTATGCAATATGCAGGCGCGCCCGCGCAAACTCATGAATATGCATAAACAGTCTGTGACGTATGACCTCGTGTTTTTGGACGTGCTTGCGGCGGGGCCGTCGCAAGCACGTCCAAAAACACGAGGTCATACGTCACAGACTGTTTATGCATATTCATGAGTTTGCGCGGGCGCGCCTGCATATTGCATACATTACAGCGCGGCCGCCATTTTGAAATCGCATGGGGTATCGCATGGGGGACGATATTTGTGGAATCTGATGACTGAAATTCGTCTTGTGGCCAGATGGATGAAAATATTGAGACCAAAGAACGTTTTTTCGAAAAGATATGAGTTGCTCTACGACTACGAACCTTAACTTTGGAAATTTGTGTCCTGGATGAAAAGATAATCGCGATCGAAAGATGTAGCAAAATCGCTACATCGGCGGCCCAAAAAATTCAGTCTCTGTGGAAGCATCGGGCGTCTGGCCGTACTACAGAGCTTGCGATAGTACTGTACGGCCAGACGCAGTCGGGCTACCTCCAGCGTTACATGTGAATGAATATGGAGCAAGTCAGCTGGAGTTACTCAAGCTAGTTAAAGCACATCAACAAGCGCTGAGAAGGTGAGGGCAATCATTCACCGTGACCCCGTAGCTAGCCGGCTACGAGGTGCATAGATCGAGTGGCGGGTATTCTGCAATTGTGCCGCTTGTCCGTTTTCCTTTTTAGGTTTTATCAGTAAACTTACCTAAATGTTGAGGTCGGAGACGGAGGACTAATTAATCTTCTGTCAATTTTTTTTACTGTCTGTAGAATTAACTTGGTGGTCATATGGTTTAGTCTGGTCTAGAGAGGCACAATGAATAGCGTACAAGGCGGAGCAGGCTGGGTACCAGGCTAAATCACATTTTGCCAAGAGAGGGCGCTCTAAAGCCTATTCGCTCGATTGGATAATTATGCGCCTATCAAATGTTTCCCCCACCCCTCCCTCCCCGCGCTGCCCCGGGTCCGATGTCGGGATTTGGTCACGTTTTTCATGCCCCAGGGTAGGGATTTTGGTCACTCAAATTACATTGTTAAAATTGGCGTACTAATGGAAAGGCAATCACTAGTGCGCCCCACGTATACAAATCGGGGCATGGTCGACTGATTGTCACTTAAATTTTGCCCGAGGGGTGGGGATTTTGTCACTCCAAAAGTGACAATCCCCACGTCTTGGGTGGGGCAGCCCAGGGGAGGGGTGGGGAAACAATTGATAGGTGCATTATTATAAGCACCATAGCGATTTTTTTTATACCATAATGTATTATTCGATAAAGGGGCACACAATGAAGAGCGCGAAACAGCGCGACTTAATTACCCTTTCAGTGCCTAATGGACCCTTTTCCTTAGAGATGCATGCATTATATATGAGACTAAGTTTCGAAGTTTAATATCCATCGTGTACACACCCGGCCCATGCAGTGGCACGTAAATATAACACGCGTATCCGTCATCACAAGTTATAATAGGCTACGTTTCGCACATTATAGGGCAATGAAGTGGCACGCGTGATAATGTGACACTTGTCGTGCGTCTGGAAAGTGGTTCCGGGTAATTTTGATATGTGACCTAGTCAGGATCCATCCATACTTTCAACAACAAAAATACCAAAAACTAGCTGGTAGTACGCCATACACTCTACTGACTGCACCTCATATGCACCTGTGCACTAGCACATTTTTGTCCCAAAATCATGAACACTTGAGGATCTTGCCAGGAAACTGAGGCAGTTGAAGTTCAACCTCGTCCCCAGGGTGTCGAGCAGTACGCGCCCACCACTAGCTGCTCTCTCACCTAGTCTGGTTCCCCGACCTGACAATTTCCCCCGACGTCTACACGTCTAAATTGTAGGTCAGGCAGCCTCCGTGGCTAAAAATAAACATGACGACATTGACGGCCCTTTTTCAAAGCTCGGCTTCGTTTCCGAATTCGCTTTATCACATAAAGCTTTTAATGTTCCGATCATTTTTTTAAAAATAAATCACTTGCTTCATATATCATACAGTTATGATATACAGTTTAATACTTCTGTAAGAAAACATTGACTAATTTTGACCTGGAATCTTCAAAGTTAGACACCCAAACAGCACTGTAAGCAGGCGGAGCCGAATTGAGACCACGCCGAGTTTTTTGGAAAATGCCGGTAACGGTCGTCAAATTCAAACTTGTGCATGACGCAGCAAAAAGTTCGCCCCTCGTATACGATCCGAGTGCAAAATCGTCGTTGAATTTCAAGTTTTCTAAATAAAAGCAATGGATATTAATTATCAACTAGTTTTTTTAAGTTTTTAATAAGCAATTAGCAGTTAATAAAACCTATATTATACTCGGAAATACTCGGACACTATCCGATATAGTCGACGAAATGAATTCGGCAAACTTCGGACATTTTCGGAAAAAGGAGGAATTCCTCCCGTTTTAGTCACGTGATGTAAATTGTAATACATTGTATTACCGGAGGCTACCTGACCTAAGATTCATCAGGAATAGTCGGAATCTTTTGGTCTGGGAACCAGACTACTCTCTCACCCTGGTATTGGACATTTGCATGTGCAAGATTTTTGAACACGTATGCAAATGAGCAATGGTCTGGTGCCTGCCTGTGCGTTTCATTAGCGTTTGTTTTTGTATGTGGTGTCTCGGGTAAAAATCAATTTGCGCGCCCTGAGTTGACGAAACACGATTACTATCAGTTAAAATGTTACACTATCCCGCCAACAGTATCACTCTTCATCATATTAAAATGAACACATTGGAAAGGAAAGGGGTATTTTTGAGAAGGTGTGGACGTTATAATTACGTTCGTTCGTGAAAATACGTACTTGCACGTTCTAAATAACAACACCAAGTACACATGCACACACCGTTTCTTTAGATTCCTTGCTATTTTTGCCGGGTGTTTCAAAACAAAAGAAAACAACAACACTTCTTTCCAAAAGAAAAACAAAAGTCTGAGATTTTTTTTAAGACCCGGCTCGGGGTCCCAAAACTCCATGCAACCTGTCTGTAATGGCTGCATGCACGTACATTCTCGATTACAACCTCTCCCAATTAACACTCATTTGAAGGCTAATTTATAAAGGAGATCACTGATGACAGTGTGCATCATGACTACGGCCCCCTAAGTGCAGACCAAGGGCCGGCATAAGGTAATCGAGACCAAGGGCGTCAATCACTTTTCAAAAGTGTGTGTGTGTGTGTGGGGGGGGGGGGGGGGACATTCGCTGATCGGAACTAATGCGAGCGCTAAGCGCGAAGCCCTAACGGCGTGGGGTGCGGGGCCCGCTTAAGGGTCCCGACAAATTTTGGATTCTAGACGCTCTGTGGTGCGATCTCAGTGAGGCAATTTCTGACCACTTTAACGTATTGTTTTGAGCAAAAGATCACAATTTGAACATCATTTGTAAGTTTGGAGTAATTTAATCAGCTATTCTGAGCTATAGAATCATATGTAGGCTACATTTTTTTGGACGGGATTTGGGGGCAAGGTTTATCCGTGGCAAAAATAAAGAGAAACAGAGAAAATAATTTGGGTTCAAAGAGTTTTCACAACTGTGAGTAAAATGATTTCTGTTTTTCACAGGTTATTCCAAACTACACGAAAACAAAAGAATGTCCACACTAGGTATGTAAAGTAAACATGCATGTGTGTGTACTTGTTCTACATAACCCCCGAGGACAGACACACAGAGGGAGAACAACAGATCCTTTCAGTCCTCGGCAGTTGGGTCTTTTGTTGGAAACGGTCCACTGTAGTAAGTTTGTGTGCGTAGTCTATGGGAGAGTGTTATATTACAGGGGCAAAGGGAAACACAAAGCATTGTCCTCAGGAGTATAGTAAAACAAGAGGGCGTGCGTGCACTGTGTGTTCAATCTCCCTTCAATTCGTCTCACTCGCTGCTCTGTTTGAATTGCCAAAGTTAAGACGGCATGTTACCGACGACCTACCACCGGCAGGCCTTCTTTAGTCCGCATGTTCAGTAAACTTGACAGTCTGATTTGGATTATGGACCAAAGTGTACTAGCGTTCACAATGTAATATTGAGTGGTGACGATAAGAGCTAAGGCGCTATTGGATGTATCATTTATTTGCGTTAGCTACTTAATGGCATCACGCTTCGGTCGGCTTGCGTCCCCGCCTCTTTTTCATTCAGGCGGCGATTAAAAATCGATGCGGGAGACGTGTGGGGCTCGCGAAAAGAAAAACAGATTATTTTTACAGTCATTTCGTAGTTATTTTTCATAGGGCTTTAACTTTGACAATGTGCCTCGCGTCAAAATAATAAGATGCAACGGCCTTGTGACATAACCACACGAACTGGTAATTGAAAACATTACACACCGAGCCGCCAACTATATTTCTAATGGATTGTCATAATAGAACCATGGAACTACGCCGTATCACTTATTTACCTCCGAGGACATTAGGCTCTTGGCACATCGATTTCGCCCCTACTGTTCGTAAATTACAAAAGCGCCTGGATGCGCGCACCACATTAACGCTTGGATCGTGAAGAAAAATAATAGCTGCCGATCTCCGTACCTATTAATAAGCAGAAGGCCATGGTTGTCAATACTTGGCTACGTGCGCATTGAGCTAAGGGACTCGTTAATACTTCATGCAACACAATGAGCAGTGTTTGTTCGACAGCAGAGAGCTAGAGAGAAAGAGAGGAGAAGAGACGTGGGGAGTTAGGTGTTCCGTCGACCAGTGTGCTGTGTGTCTGGTGAAGTGCGGTAGTGCATGCAGAAAGACGTAGTGGACTCGAGATCCAGATTCTGAAATACCGATCACAAGGAAACTCTCGCCTCGCCAACAAAAGTCTGCTTCTCTTTAACCTAATTTATGCATCGGCTTAATTACTTCTGAATTCTGGCACAAACTCTAGTACTCGTTTCGGCAATACATGTACTTCTATCACAACTGTCTGCGCTCTCCGATACCCAGAAAGGAGCCTCTACTGCGTTCAAGACAGGCCTACTCTCAAATTATTCCAATCTCCACGAGATTTATCGTTGATGTTCTCCAATCCACCCCTTGACTTCAGCCATCCCTTGACATCAAATTGGGAAACAAGGATTCGAGTACGTTTTGTAGATGTATTTGTGTGCGGGGACTGAAACGCGCTAAAAATATTTGCAAAGAATTGTGCCGGTCTTTGATTGCCATAAAAATCCTGACAGCTTCTTCCCCCCACACCAAATTTTTCATTACAGCCAATTTCTACGTAGAGATAGACATCTTAGATGAACTCATCATGTTGATTACATTGCTATCAGCCGCTCTAGTTTTAAGTATCAAGGCTCAGAACAGTGCACACGGGTGTTCGTTCAGTCTCCAGGATCCCCCAGACTTTTATTTGGCTGAAAATCGAGCTCTGAATTATTCTGCCTACCAGGAGATTCACGGAGTTTCCGCAGCAATGTGCGCACGGAACTGCCACCTGGACTCGCCTCGTTGTGCGTCCTTCAACTACCAACAAGCCAGTGGCGTTTGCAAGTTAAACAACGCCACCAGGAAGGACAGGCCCGTCGACCTCTTGGAGCTTGGAGGGAGCTCCTACTATGACCGCAGCGACGAGACTCTGTTGTGCTCGGCGCCACTAGAGGTATACAACAGCAGCTGTCAGATGCTCTTCAGGGCCGGTCACCGCGCCAGCGGCGTGTATACCATCTACCCAGTAGCTGATAGCGTGGGGGTACCGGTGTACTGCGACATGGAGACCGACGGTGGAGGATGGATGGTGATCCAGAGACGCCGTGACGGTACGGAGGATTTCTCCCGTGTCTGGGTCGAGTACCAGTCGGGCTTCGGCGATATGCACGGCGAGTTCTGGCTGGGGAACGACATCGTGCGTGACGTCACCGCGTCCGGGTCCTGGCAGCTGATCGTGGACCTAGGAGACTGGGAGGGCAACACGGCCTGGGCAGAATACGGTGAGTTTGGACTGTCTGGCAGTGAATACCAACTCCGTGTCGGCTCGTACAACCCTGCAAGTACCGCGGGGGACTCGCTGCAGCGGGTACACGATGGCGTCATGTTCACGACAAAGGATCGAGACCACGACTCTGCAGGCGGAAACTGTGCAGACGATTATCCTGGGGCCTGGTGGTTCGTATTATGTCTTGAGTCCCATTTGAATGGTGTGTACCGTGAACGTGGGTACATCAATGAGGGGAAGGGTATCATATGGGGACGGTGGAAAGGATTTCACGAATCACTTAAGCAATGCAGTATGAAAATACGGGAAGTTAAGTGCTATCATCGTCTGCCTTGATTAAAAAAGAATATCAATCAATAATTAAAGCTAGGATTGGAGTGGGTGTAGTCTTTATTCAAGCCCGGGTGTCGTGGTTTTAGCGCTGGAGGGCGCTATTAATTGCAGCTGGAACTACTGTTTCTCGACCCTCATTAAAAAATATGGGACCGGTAACCGGTAACGTAATTGTTTATTACAATTGAATCATTATCCGGCTTAGCTTGTGCATGGACCATGCTTGAACCATGCTTGAACACAATGGTTATCAACAAATATCAGATCTTACCCCCCAAAAGATACGCAATTTCGCCAGTGTCTCCATAAAAAAATCATTCAAGTATTCGAAATGCATATGCTTTAAATATACTGAACAGAAATGCCCCTCTCTTTGTTGATAGTTACGAGAGACACTTTCGAATTCAACAAAATTGAAATTAATTATGTACGAAAATGTAGATTCGTAGCCTATTGCCCATTTTACAATAGGCTGGTTGTGCACAGACATTACCGTTGTGGTTTTGAATGCATATTAGGAGGCGGAATTCTGACATATGTCATACATATCATTTGCACAATGTATGCAAGATTCACCGCTAGTTATAACGGAAACCATTTCTGAAGTCCGAATGATAATGGGGTCATGGAACCAAACTAAGCTGGAACTTGAAAAAAAACCACACTTTTATTTGGTCACAATAACGAATTGTTAAAAAAAAATGACACGAAAGGTAAAGAACTGAACAATTTCCCGGCCCATTTTGTTGCCAAAAATCGGGAGTGTCACGTGTTGCAGTTGTCTGTGTCATGTGGACTGTTTGAATAGTCTGTAGCCTACTTGTTCTTGTTTTAAGAGAAGGTATATATATTTTTAAGACTATGAATGAGGCGAATCCTCACGAAATGAATAATCAACAGCATGATCTATCATGTTAAAAAAAACACCCAAAACTTATCATCATCGCTTAATGGAAACTAATTATATTTGTTTGTTTCGCAACATTAACAATCTGATGTCAGTGGATGGAAAGAATATATACACATATTAATATAACTGTCATTAGCGTTAGAAAAGCCAAGCAAGTTTGTTTGTTTGTTGAAGTTACCAGTTAGTGTCAATTTACAGTGGCATCATCTAACAATAAAAATAATAATGATAACCGGGAATGGGTGATTAGGGGGACTTTCCCATAGACTTGAGCACACATTTTTGTCCAACTTAAATGTGCCCTAACCCATTTTTCCCTGGTCCTTTTTGCCACAAATGTTGGTATTTTTTTCTTATTAGACCACGAGCAACAACTATAATCTAATTGCGACCATAAAATAATAACCTAATTGCGACAATAAAATTGTGCCTCTAAAGGGGGCTGTGCCATTAGGGAGACAGTTATGTGTCTCTCTAAAAGCCGGTGTCTCCCTATTATCGAAAAAAATTACGATAACGTGTCTCCCTAATGGTAACAATTACCGATAATTGGGTCTGATAATTGGGTTTTAGGGAGACTTTTTCGTAGACTTGTGCACACATTTCTTTTCCCCAGCTAAATGACTCCTAACCCCAATTATCTTTAACTAATTGGACCACAAGCAATCGATCTAGCCTATTTGCGACCATAACATTTTGCCTCTAAGTAGGGATGTGGAACTAGGGAGACATTGAAATATCTCCCTAATTCGACGTGTCTCCCAAAGGCGCTGACACTGAAGTGTCTCCTAAAAGGGTATACTTGTTATTATAATAACAATCATAATTACTATAATAATATTTAAAATAATGGGTACTTATAAAGCGCACACCTAACAAAAGGCGCTCATGGCGCTACGATAGAAGAAAAAATGATGAAACAAACAAGAACCAAAAAAAATGTTCATTGTGTACAGTCTGACCTGCAAAAGAACTTATTATGTGGTGTTGTAGGCTAGATTACAGTAGTGTGCTTTTGGAGCCGTTTTGAATGAGCTGAGAAATGTGCTAGATCGGATGTTTTTTTATGCACGGAAAGATCCGTCCCCCAGGATCGGTACGATCTCGGTACAGCCAGAAATTGTTGGTTAGTGACCGGAGACCAGAACGACCGGATTGATGGGGAGCTAGTAGCGCAGTTAAATATACGGAGGGGGATGTTGTGCAGTGAGCGATAAAAGAGAAGCATTAGTTTGTACATGATTCTAAATTTAATCGGAAGCCATTGGAGATGTTGCAAAATAGGTGTTATGTGTGTCATCATTTGACACTAAATCTCGTGTTTGAGTTTGTAAGGTACTGGCTTGGAACAACTCTTTGTTTTGGATGCTATCTTCTCTACTCTTCGTAAGTGGGGAAGTTTTGTTTTGTAACAATTACCTTTAGGTAAACATTTTAGCTGTAGATTTTTTTTGAATAGATGTTGTTTTCGAATAATTATCATTTTTTTTGTGAAAACTGATAATGCACGCAAGTTCAATAGGTTCGTTATTCTTTAATCGAATCTCCGAAAAAAATGAATTGTTTGAAAACTGTATATATAATGCCCACAAGTTCTCGGCACATAATACAAGTCACAGTTTCGTTGTTACGCAGTTTGATGTCAATATCAACAGTTTATGCTGTGTATATATTTGCAAATGTCTTTTATTGGTTCACCTAGTGTTTAATTAAGAGTTAATTAATTAAAATAAGATACATAATTGCACATAATGTTAGCTTTATTATCATTCTTAATATCATTATTCCGGGATTTTACCTTGCTTTTTATGGAGGACTCGCGAGTAAAGCCTATAAGGAGTACTGTCTAGCCGGAATTCGGGCGATTCACAATGTAGTGCCACACCGAGAATTTGCCGTGGAGAGTCAAGTTTACGGTCGACAAAACATGGCCCATTTGAAACTGGACAACTGGAGCTAATTAACAGACGGGGGCGGTTCTGGGGGAGGGGGGGGGGGGGTTGAGGGGTGCCCCCCCCCAAAGAAAATTCCATACAAGAAAATTGCACTAACAAAATGTAAAAATGTGACGTACATGCGAACGGTCTCCCCTAAATAAATAGTCGTGAGAAGGCTGAATTTGTACACTTTTAGTTAATATAGTGCGCTTGATTGTAGGATTTTATCAGCGCTCCCCATTGAAAATATGGCACGAGCCCCCCCCCCCCCCCCAACCCAAATGATTGATTTTCGGTGGCCTAAGTGTCCGGAGAAAATAACCGGTCTACATTTCAGCACGCCTCCCTGAAAAAAAATTACGGATTCACCCTGCTAGACCCCCCCCCCCCCCCCCCCCCCCCAAATATTGGCTCGAGAACCGCGCCTGATTAACTGACGGGGATATCGCGTTCTGTCGCATTACAAAAAACACCATATTAATAAAAAGAATAGAAAAGGGCAAACAGTCTCAAGTCATGCGCTTACGAAACTACTGACCGGAACGACCATCTCCCACAATGCACTAAGAAAAGTGCACTCTCTGTGGCAAACTCTTGGTGGCGCACTGCATTGTGAATAGGCCAGAATGGGTATTTTGCTAGTGTCTGTTCAAATTGAGTTTCAAATATTGTTACACATTGAGACAGCACCTTCGGTGTAAATATAGTTCAGTTTTCAATGATACCAACGTTTGCACTTACAATTGTTTAAAATAGGGCCTATAGGTTCATTATGTTTTCGTTCAGTGAAAATAATGTATGGTTCAAAATTGTATTGATGTACATGTATAAGTGTATTGTATGCCACAGTTAAAGATGTATTCCTGTGCTATTTTCGAGTTTCACCTCGAAAAATATAATTATTTGGGTTTTTTTCAATTGCTATTTTCCTTGCATAGAAAAAGGTTATTCATTTTTGAATGAGACATTGATCAAAACAAATCTACTCACATTTAAGTTATTGAAAAGTTGTTTTTGACAACATTTGAAATATTGACTGCAAGACAATAATTTGGCTGTCGTAGGGCGGGTTATTTGTGCACAAACTAAAAAATCCCTTTTCAGAGGAGTGCATGCAGACGCCCAAAATCGGCATAAAGTCGTTTATTCAATAAAACAAAACAATAATCACACAAAGTGTTTATTCGTTAGGAAAACAAAATCAATTTTTGAAGAGCATGGGTTACGTATCTTTACTGTTATTGATGCCGTTACAAATAAATACTAGTTAGAAAAGGGGCAAATTGTTATACTTTGTGATTTCATAAGTATTTTTTTTTCTTGCAAGCGAGTTTTAGGTCCGCGCGTGTGTAGGCTACACCGTTGGCCTGGCAGATATAGGAGGGCGCTATTGTGTTTCAAATGATTTGTGCAAGCACAAAAGAATAGCAAAACCAAGACAGCGTCAACCTATTGCCCACGATATCGCAAGTCTAACAATTGTGTACACTTAGGTATATCTGTATTTAACAGCACACAGAGTGTCCTGACCATTAACCAACCTCGTCCCCAGTGCTTACTTTATTTCCAACCGCGTTTCCAATAGTAAACCCTGGATGGGAAACTTTCTTCCTGTATCCTGATTGGATACCGCAATTGGCTAGTAATGGATTTTTATCGTGTACTTGGTGCTATATATTCACAACGTGCAGTACGTGTTTTCGCGATCATTCGTCCACGCCTTCTCGAACATACTAATTTCCTTTCCAATTTGCTCATATTAATATGAAATATGATACTGCATGTTGTCTCGATATAAGATCGTAACAGTTTGATTTCAAAAATCGTGTTTTCGTAACTCACGCCGTGCTCGCGCTGCTACGAATTGACTCTGTTTTTACCCCAGACACCGCGTACAAAAACAAACGCTAATGTGTAACGCATATCCAGGCACCAGACTGTTCCTCATTTGCATACGTGTGCAAACATCTTGCACATGCAAATGATCCAATACCAGGGTGAGAGAGCAGGTAGAGGTGGGCGCGTACTGCTCGACACCCTGGGGACGAGGTTGGACCATTAACCTATTTGAGGTATGGAAGACAAAATAAGAGGGCGCTGTTTGATTTGGATAAAGTCTTTTGTATTTTTACCCGACCAAATCGCGCCCTCCTTCTTTGTCGGCCATATTTCAAATAGGCTAAATTAGCTGCAGCCACTCTCAAACATTTGTCACGTCACACTCCTATGATCATATACCCCTCAACACCCCTTCCATAGTGGACCTCTTATGACCCGTCTGTTGTTGATACTTAATATATCTATTTTTTTTGGGGGGGGGGGGCTCCTTATGTCTTGTTCACGCTTTCAAAACCGAGGACCATCGCCAAATGTGTTGCCTCTATTGTTCAGGGTCTACTGTTTCAATGTGGAAACTTGAAAACACAGATCGCCTATCTCGAAAACTAAAGCGTTTCGGCCACTCGTCCCACGGATTATCTAAAATAGGCTAAATTAGCTGCAGCCCCCCTCCGACGTTTAAATAATGTTTTGTCACGTCGCACTCCCATGATCCTAAACCCCCTCACCCCCTTCCCTCCCTCACTCCGATCATGGACCTCCTATTGTCCGTCTATTGTTTATACTGTATAAGTTTTATGAAGAGTCCTCCCTTATGTTTTGTTCACGTTCTCAAAAACCGAGGACCTTCACCAAATCGTGGCCTCTATTGTTCAGAGTCCACTGTTTCAATGTGGATGCATGAGATACTTAAGAAAATGTTCGTCTGTGGATACCCCCCCCCCCCCCTTCCCGTAATATGTTGTAGGCCTGGTGAGATGTAGGCCTGGTGAGATGTTCCCCCGAAATTCCCCTCCAACAATTTTCGTCAGCATATACCCCAAAATGGGGCAATGGAGGTAAATCGCTAATTACAACGTATGTACAGTGTACAGCGGGAGCCCAATTTCCTAGCGCTGCTTAACAGCCGATTTTGTGCTTACCGAGCCTCCATCTATTTCCATAGAGACCGTTAAGCAGTAAGCACAGCAAAATCACGCTTAACCCCAGAGGGAAAAAAGTTGTCTGAAATAAGTGACGTAACAATCGAAATTTCAATATTATGTTTTTCCCTTCACCGACGTATAAACTCAGTGTGTTACCTCCCAAATGAAAGTTGGAAAAAATCACTCAGGTGGGACTCAAACCCACGACCTCTTGCTTCTAGTGCAGACGTCTTACCACTCGAACACCGTGGGTCGTGGGTTTGAGTCCCACCCGAGTGATTGTTTTCAAACTTTCCCTCGGGAGGTAACACACTGCGTATACAGTGTACGTCGGTGAAGGGCAAAACCTAATATTGATTTACATCACCCCGACGCAAAAATTCCATGTTATGAATAATCGAAATCTCTATCGCGCGCGACCGTTATCACACTCACGCCTTGAAAAATAGTGCTTAAAGCAGCAGCATGATTTTCCGTTCAGAAGTTTTATGCTAACTGTTAAGTAGTGCTATGAAATTTGGCCGTGGTTTTACGCAAAACGTCTTCGTAAATAGCGCCACCTAGTGTCCCATGAAAAAGAGGACACTACCAACCTAAGTAGCGAATGGGGGGGGGGGGGGTAGTATTCGAGCTGTGATGGGGGAAATTACTCTCATTCATATTATATTTTTCGACGAAGATAATTCAGTTTCGCCCAAACCTTGAGGGAGGAATATAACTTAGTGGTCTGCTGATTTTCAAATTGCATTAGAATGTAGGAGAAAGCATCGTAGATTTCAATTCTTTTCAGGGGCACGCCCTCGGACACCCAGCAAGGTTTGCCCTTGCTCAAAGCCCCGCCCTCTCCTGAAAACTACATGTAAATCCGCCCATAGAGCTAGCTCCCTGCGATCCGCCGCTACACTGCTTTCACTGTTCAAAATCCATCGAAACATTTGAACATTTGTACAGTATGACCTTGCAATTTTATTTTAATTATTCCATCAATTTATCCTCTGATGAATGAGTAACTCACACACACAAAAATAATAGACAGCTTGGGATTGACAAGTTTGCAATGACTGAGAGTAATTTTAATAAGCACTCGAGCGGTTTAAGTAATGGGAATCACTGAGACCGGTTACATTCAGCCTAAATTAACAAAACAAATCAAAAACCCCATAGAGTAACGTTAGTTTTCAGCCACCTTTGAAAACCAATACTGGAAAAATAGCAAGTCAAGTATAACATTTAACATCCAGGAAATCCTTACGATGCACAGAATATCCCGTAAAATAGTACAAATATCGAGAGAACAAGTTCCGCTGCGAATGACAATAACAAATGTCGACACAATGTCTACCCACATACCTCCGAGTTCTGAATTACAAATCAGGCTTTAGTGTTGCCGTCAGCTTCTTTGACTTTCATTGCCGATTGAGTACAATCAATGAACTAGCTGTCCTTAATCAGTACGATTTCTTACATAAAAATACCCAATACATATAGTTACGGCACAGCAACATGGCATTGACCTTGGGAGATTAGAGTAATTTAACTTCAGTATCAATTAAAACAAAAACTCCCTCACCGCAAATTAACAGATACAATTTTCCAAAAAAAATTAGTAGGGCTGATGAGTAATAACACCACTCTGCAAATAAAAAGAAATGTACGAGTAATTAATAGACGCGCCATGCAGTTTTCAATGCCGATAATTCAAAGCCAAATTTTGAGAAGTGTAAACAATTGTTGTTCACTTTCTGGTCCTAAATACTCGTTCATAACTTAGCCAATGTATTCCTGACTGAAGAAAACTTTACCGCGGGGCTTATACTCCATGTAGTAACAGACGGAGGCGGGCTTGCCATCGCTGCCCAGTGTGAAGGTCACCTTGGCGGCTCGTGATTTGTCTCTGAAATCCAACACAATCGTTTTACCAGCAGCGTTGGTGATAGCTGAAAGAAATGGAAAAATAAACATTATATCGATCATCGAACGAAATGCGCATGGAAAACATTGGGATTCATATTGCAAATGAGACGAAATCCCAATTCAGAAACACCTTTGTAAAGATATGTCAGATTCTTCTCAAAGTTCAAAGATTTATAACTGAATTTCACAAATTGTAGATTTTAATGGGTTTTTTTTTCTAGAAGAGCTTCGCAAGCATTCAGAAATAAAATCGATTTCGTTTGTTAGCAAGCCAAGTCCAAGAAGTTGCGCTGGGTATAAGTCCCAAAATGTAACAAAGGTTTAATGCATTTTAATTAATCAGGGCATTTTTTTGGTTCTACTGTTGGGCATCTTCGAGGAGAATAGAGTACCGAGGCGTGACGTCATTTAGAACCAGAAAGTGCAAACGAAAACGCGCGCGTGTTGGTTTGCGGGCTGGGCATGAATCACGCGCCAATGTCTTTCACACACATTTTGTGCGTGTGACGTATTCACTTCGGTACTCCATAGTCCATACCCAAATGGGACCTTTTCTTGGACCTGCCCTTCACCTTTCAGCAATAGGCGCTGAAATGTTCGTCAATATCGTTGTCTCATCTCATCAGACGAGGAGACGAAACCCAGGAAGATAAAGACTCACATTTATTAAGTTTAATCACATACCAAAGGACGACTGGACTTACTTTCTTTCTTATCGCCAAGTGGCTGATAATCTCGAGTTGCGCTAAGCGTATATGACGACCCCCAAACAGTCGCATGGGCCGAAAACTTACTACCGAGTGCTAGAAAGTACAAAAGAAAATGATTTTTTTTTAATGCACAAACACATGTCCTTTGTCCTTATCACAGTCTTGGTCGTGTCCGTTTGTCAATAGTAATCAACCCGCGCGGTCATTTTCAACTGCTCGTTTTACCAACATCGAGTACAGGTACATGGTTTACATGTACACATACATGTGCATACCCTTCTTCTTGTGAATAATAATGTAATGTAGGCCAAAAGATAATTAAAAAAAAAAAAAATTTAAAAAAAATATTTTTTTTTTTTTTTTTTTAATAATTTTTTTTTAATGTCTGTATTTGTTTGTTGGAGTCAAATAAATAATAACAATAATAAAATGTGCGCATATTTTTTTTGAGATGCATGCTATCGATGTGGAGTTTCGAGTTCGTATCACTATCAATGTTTTTACACACAATGATTTAGGGCCACCGTCATGACCGTATGCAATAGAAATATCCCGCCAACATACCTTGCAAACGCATGCTGATTTATCTTTTCTGGACGTTGTGACAAACTCAAACTGTAATACCAATATTCCAACCATACTCTTATTAAATTCCATGATTAAATTCTCGCACTGATGGGTCTCAACCCGGCAATAAGCGACCAAATGTGCTCACGATCGTCACTGAAAAGTACTCACATACAGTACACACAACCACACATCCACGAGATGCACACAAATGACACACCATTGAAAAATAGTTTTAGTCTGGTCCTCAAGTACTCCACTGCGCAAACTGCATTGATGTCTATCAGGTATTTGACTGCATTCTTATTAGACCTGTCACCAGTCCATCCATTATCGCGACATTTCGCCAGAAGTTTTCGGTCAAAAACGATACTTTACAAGTATTTTTTTTTTCATTAGGTAGAAAATGGGAAATTCGTAATGTTTTAGTGGCAAATCGTATTTTCGTAATTTAACAAACAATTCGTAATAATTACGAAAAATTAGTAACAGTTGGCAGCTATGCAATAGGTTAGGACAAATTGTAAAGAGTGTCAACATTGATACAAATACGCTCTGCATTCTAAAGTTTGATTCAAATTTCTGTCCAGCTTTAAGCTCACTTTAAGTTGAAATTCCCGAGTACGAGTTATATTTGTGTCGTAAACTCGGTTGATTGTCGGTCAATATTGACAGTCAACTTTGAGGAATTTCAGTTGAAATTAGAAATTGAAATTTGCCACAGTGGCAACACTCGGCCAAGAGAGGGAGGTATTTGCAACGCAAACATTTTTTTTTCCTGACTTTGAGGGCCATCCGATGAACTTTTCTTAGGAACGCATTTTGTGCATTTGTCTATACTTCTCTTAGAGTATGAAAACTATTTGACATCATATTTGGTTGATTTTATTGAACAATTATTAATAGGCCCCCTACTCTATGAACATTTACAATTTTCCACGTCTTATTTTGGACAACCGGGGGCACTGTTGCTACGGTATCATTATAAGGAAGACACTGATGAAATTAGGAATTTACCATTACATTTTTTAATCGTTAATTAGCTCACTGAAAAAAAATGTGCGAGGAACAGTTGCTTATTGGCATGTAGGCTACTGGCACAACGAAACCTAAACAAACAAAAAATAAGATTTTGACGGCAACATTTCCAAATATTCTCGTAACTTGTTTGTGCCGAGATGGCTGTAACATTGAGGTTTCTGTCTAGAATGACATCACAGTTTTGCTCATGAGAATTATAAATTCGCATTATCAAAAAAAACCCAAAGAGCATAAAATACACTTGAAAACGGCAAAACGAAAATTGAAAATGAGGTTAGATAGGGACACAAAAAGGTGCATTTTCAATGATAGTATTCGAACAATTATGCATGGCAAGGGCGTCAACCGCCTTTCCAAAGTGGGGGACATATCACAACTAATGCTCCTATTAGCACTCCAAAAATGTTGGATTCTAGACACACTGTGGTGCACTCTGAGGCAATTTCGGACCACTTTAACTTTTTTTTTTAGCAAAAGATTATCATTTTCGAGTTTGGAGTCACTGAATCGGCTATTCTGAGGAATCGAATCATAATGCTGCAATCTTATGCAGGGACGAAAAAAAGTCTTGGGGAGGGCAAACGATACGGTAGCCTGTTCGCTAGATCCCCAGTTATTATATACATACTCTGCTCATCCTCCGGCTTTGCTACCCACTCAGAATAGCAAGTCATGTCATGGCAGTTAAGTCCTGATTTCTGCCTCAGGCAGACATCGAGATCTGGAACAAAGAATACAATGTCAGCACGAGAAAAAAAAAGTGTTCATAGTAACGTCTTTGAAAAGACAGGAAGAAATAAATCATGAAATTCAGAAAGCAAACCTGTACTGCTGTATCAATTTTGTGTAAAATTTTATCAACTGTTTTAAAGGGCTAAATTGGTAGATCTGTTCATTAAAAACACTGACAAAATTGCCTCAGAATAGATGACAAATCAGTTGGAAATGGGTAAAAACGATTTTAGCCCAAGGCCAATTCTAAAAGAACTTCGAGAAAAAAAAAACATCCCGCCAAAAAAACTTACACGGTGTTCTCTTGGATTCGGTGGTCTTCTCCAGATAGCGAGTCAGCAATTCCCTCAGACGGAGGTCATCCTGTAGGGAGAACAAGAAACAAACTGAGAAAGATGTTCTCCAAGTTTACTTTGACAATTCATCATAGTAGGCCAGCCAAATGTGTTAAAGCCCTGAAAAAGCTGGCATCCATGCTAGATCCATTATTATTTTGAACCATAACAAACAAGATAATAATAACAATAATATATAGTGCTTAGCGCTTTATACCGAAGGTCTCAAATTATTACCCCTGTTCATCAGGCCATAAGACCAGTTTCTGCAGCAGCTCAAGATCAGCGCAATCTGGTCTCTACCTTCACAGGTACCCATTCATACTCCTGGGTAGTCTTGGGTCCAAGAGCTTCCTGTTGTTTATTCCTCGATCGATCACATCAATCGCGGACCGTGCGTCAACGTACGTAGCAGTTCGTGGATGATAGTTCGCTCGTACCCCCCGCCCTGCAAACAGGGCGCTGGGATACTCCGATGGGTGCAGGCCAGTAAATCGGTCGGAAATTGCCTACGCCGGCCAAATCACGATTTGCATGCCCTCAAAATCTTCAGTATTTGAGCATGCTGTGGGCCATGAACTTGAGGGTTTGTAAAAAAAATATGGGTGGAAGCCGTGCACAGGACTGGGAGCTTGCAGTTCTGTGTAATTTGGATGTAATTTGGACCCTAAAAGCGCTCTATTTTGCAATGGAGTGTAGGCATCGTTTTTCAAAATGGCGATGGGCTTCAGGACTATTTTCAGGGGTGATCATCTTCAGATGGAAATTTCTCCTAAAAGTCATCAGTTGACCCCCAAAAAATTGAAAAGAAAATGAAAGATGATGAAATAAGCTTTAATTTGATGTGTGTCTCGAACACCCTGGAGAGTTGTGAGTATTTTTCCCGAATTTTTGAAGTGGGAGCATTTACCATTGGGGTCAATGGAAGTTTATTTACTGGTCTGCTACCTGATGAGCTTCACAGAATCTTGTGAAGGAAATGGCTTATGACCTATGTATAAAGCATCTGGCTGCAGCTGTTCAAGACCGCAGTTAGACAATGTGCGCAAATGCTATCCGAAAACTTCCCATAGAATTGCGCACATTCCATACTGGATGTGATTTCTGTGTCATTGCGGACCATGTGGACAAATTTTGAGCGTCGCATAATGTAATCCGACCGTTCGTGATTCGAAATGGAGCCTGAGCGAGTGACAGGAATTGTAAATTAACAACACAGGTAAATTTTACAGAATTTCCTACATTATTACGCTTTTCAACGAGAAAAAACATCTCTAAACTGGAATAAAAGAGTAATGAATCAGTCTTAACGGCCGTTTCAAACCTTGCAGAGTCATGACCTTGATCACGCGCAGGTCACTGGTCACGCAAAATCCAACCAATCAGAGCGTGAATTCATCAGAGTATCCCAGCGTCCCGTTTGCAGGGCGGGGGGTACGAGCGAAGGATGATAGCGGTTCGTCTCGAGATAGCGCCCTCTATCAGCGATCGTTTGTGAGAGTGATCGGACGTACGTTGACGCATGGTCCGCGATTGATGTTATCGAGGAATAAACAACAGGAAGGTCTTGGACCCAAGACTAACTCCTGGGTGGAGAGAGGCAATTGTAGTAGAGATGCTAGTGGATGCCATCGTTAACTTTGACCCTAAATATTCCTAATTTGCATAAATCGTTAAAACCTGCCGTGTAATATATTTGTCCCCATATCTGGGTATATTTTTTATTTGGCTTTTTATACTGCGTGCTTCTCTCTGTAGAGTATATACACAAAGGAACTCCAAAAAGTAATGGTACAGTCCGTTAAAATAAGCTTTAATATCGTCAGCGTGGTTTCATTTGAAAGGGATGATCGGCTTCAGTATTGATAGCTTAACTCGCACCCCTACGGTTCTGGACGACTGAGCGCCATTAAGCCTATAGATTTCAAAACAGAAGAGAAACTCTGCCATTCTAAGCATGCAGGAGATAAGCTGTTCATAGAATTCACTTCATGTGTTGAAAGGGGAGGCCCAGAGTCCATACGGATACATTGTTTGGCCAGCTCATGCCACCACTAAACAGACGACTAGGCAATTCCAGCGTTATGAAAGGAATTGCTACAGGGTGGCTACAAGGCGAGTAAAAAGCGGAACCCAAACCCCCCAAAATTATATATCATTTAAAAAAAAATTATGTAGCACTCAGCATAATAATGAATGGAAAGCCAATTTCATAAGCTACTTTTAGATGAACAAGTCAGGTGTGTTTAGAAACACAAATGCCCCGCAACCGTGACTGTTCCCATGACATAACACCACTCTTTAAAAACAAATTACATGTACCTTGGTCAACGTTCATTGACAGCATTAGTGTCTTCTGTAGGTTTTATATGAATTAATCCCTAATCCCTATGATCTCAGAATAAATACAAGATTTCTATTGTTTTAGCCACTGTGACCTTGACCCTTGCGATTCTGTACTAATGACGTCACACTCTGTTTACAAGTGGACTTTGCTATGGGGGCCTACTGAGCACCATAGGAAAGCACACACGTAAACAAAGTAATTAATAACTTAGGGAAATGATCCAAAACTCCTAGTCTGTAATCTCCTTCACCATTTCTATATGTTTGTTGTATTATTCTTTCCCGTTTGTCCTACTAAGTAATGATGGCACGAATGTTGCCACTTTTTTCTTCACCATCTCACTGAAGGTCAGTCATCGCAAAAATGTTTTAAAGACATGAATCTGGGACCGAGAAACATTTCTAATTTTGTTAGAAAATACTTTTGAAAAACAAATTTGTGCACAACCAGTGAAGTGGCGTCTGTACACTATATTTTTCCACAATAATATTTCTTGTACGTGCTCGAAAAGTTCAATACGAGAAATAATTGGCTTAACCACCATAATGGTTTCTGTTTCTCATCATGCCACTATTTTTCCCTAGTGCTATTTTCAATCGCCACTGTGTCAAACGATGAAAGGGCCTATTATGTTATCCGTAATAAAATATAAATTAATGTATATACCCTAAAATGCGACTTCGAACATGTTATATAATTTGTCGGCCGTAATGCGAACTGCCCAGTTCTAAAACGCTTGTAAAATAACATCTAAAGAGGTTTGTTGACGAATGTAAAGAGACGCAGGAACAAAAAAAGTTACGAAACACATTTTGCCCATACCTATCTACATTGACTTTTTTCGGCCTAGGAAGGTTTTTTTCGCTCCAGATTATTATTTTTCAGGAGGAAACCAATTTATCGAGAGGAAACCAATGAAATGATTTTTTTTTTCAGTACAGGAAACTGTAAGTGAGACCTGGATATCAAAAAAATAATGAAATTAATTGAACTAAAAAGTGGTGGTTAATTTCCATAATGGCGAATCGTCTGCGTTTATTAGTTCACGTGTGTATACTGCCCTCTTGGGTTTAACACGCACTCCACACAATTCTTGGGACTACAGGGTGAGTAAAAAAAAAGAAACCCAAATGTTGGGACCATTGTTTTAAGGAAGTTCTGCATGTAGCATTTTTAAAAACTAGTATATAAAAGCCCAATTCATAAGCTTTCTGTTAGCACAAGAATCATTCAACGAAAAATAGACACCTGAAAAAAGGCAGCACTTTCTGATTAGCCTATACAGAGGGCGAGTATGCTTCTAAAGTAAAAATAAACTACAATTTAAGCCTAAATGTGATAATCAAAATTTGACAAAGTTCGACATGTTTTTGTACATGGTGGAAGGGTAGTCCAGTAAATTGGCCACACTTATGGGGCTAGCCCCCCAATAATTACTATGTTGATCAAATCACCTCCACCTAGCTCTCATGGCGTGCAATAACACAATTTATTGTAAACTTTCAAAAAACAAAAATTAAACCGTGTATTTTGTGTAAAAGGTAGGCATGTACGTACCGACTGATCTCCGTGCACAACGCCGACTGCCACGAGGCAGAGTGCAAGACACACAGCGACTGGTCGAAACATCTTGAACACCTGGCGTCGAAACTGGCTGAAGCAAAGTACGAAGATCTGATGAAACGTGGGAGCTCTGCAGCACTGTTAGTTTCGTGCGCGCTCCTTCCTCTTTTATACCGAATTGATTGTTACAGAATAACGTGGGGTTTGCATAATTTGCAAATAAGCAGTGACCTACCTGTCGTGATTGGCTGTTCAAATCTTCCCCTCGCCTGTGATTGGCCGTTCAGTTTTGGAGAAAACCAAAAATCCGGTGGCTTCATCTGTGCACGTGCATCACGCAGGCACTTTTCGGCGGTATAGTTTTTACATAAGTAGGCCCGAATGAACGCTGAATTAACGCAGCTGAGCGACTTCAAGAATACATGCCACTCAAACATTGCTTTTTAGACGGCTTCAGGGTGACCTAAGGTCTTGGCCAAATTCTGCTAAATGCACTTCAAAAATCTGTCAGATTTATCAAAAAATCTGCCAAATTCCCCAGAATTACTCGAAATACACTATAAGTATACGCACTTAAAATCACATGCAGTAGTATGTTGTAGTAGGTTAATTAAGGTTCAAATTACATTATAAACAATCTATAGTCATGTTATGAAATTGCGTAAATTTCAGGCAAAATGCGGTTGCGTCCCGACGAAGTCCGGTTCCCATTACTGGACCAAGCCCAGTCTAAAGTGGCTTTCTTAGCTGTTGGTTATGGAGGTAACATCATAAATTGGTACGTTTGGCGTTCCATAGTTGGTAGCTTTCCAGCACTTAACTGGCGCATCACTCATCACTCAAATTCTGATGGGAGGCAGGCTGGCTCTAAACAACAGACGCATATACATTGGGGATAGCCTGAGTGCTTATCAAGAACATATTTATGGTCATCAACTGATTAAATAGCCATTATCTTAGTAGGGGGCTCATGAATACGAACCCGGGATTCACGGGTTCGCGAAAGCCACATTAGACTGGGCTTGGTCCAGTAATGCCAGTGAACCTCAGCACCTAGACCAGCCAAACTCTCCCATTATGCAAGGGTTTGTTTGAAAAGATTGAAACTTTTTAAAACAAATGTAGGCCCTACCGTTTTTTTTTTTAAATTTGCTATGTTACTTTTACTGTCAATAACCATTTTTGCAGAATTCTGTCAGAAATCTGCCAAAAAAATCCATTCTGTCAAATTTTCTGTCAAACTCGTTTTTTTAACACAAAATCTGTCAAAGTTTGCCGAAAATCGGCTAAAACGGTCACCATGGACGGCTTATAAAATCACTCATTATTGCGGGGGGGGGGGGGAAATAACGAAAACGAAGTTGTGCATGGAGGGCAGTGACGTGGATTTGTAGTGTATTTTTTTCTCTCAGTATATTCCATTGCCCTGTCAAAACTTTGATAGTCGTGAGATCTGCGCCGGAAAACTTACACGTGAACAATTGAAACAATCAAGTGCTTTGGTACCTTGGAACATGTTAACGGAATACGGGAGAATAAGACCACATGGATTTTACCATGTCATGAATTTCGTGTCACAGCTTTTTGGGGGCTTGCTAATTTAGAGAATTTTGGTTTGAAAAACATTTTTCTTTCAATCGCGCGCGTCCAAAGATACTCGACTCAAACCAGGGCCGGCGGAACCGGGGGGGGGGGGGGCAGGGGGAACTTGCCTCTCCCCCCCCCCCACGATTTTCCAAGGCCAACAAAAGTGCCCCTCTCAGGGTCATAAATGTGCCCCCTTTAGATGAAAACAAAACTGCCCCTCAAACGCACACATGAAAGGCTTATGATCGCACTTAAAAAATGGTCTCCTCTCTCGTTATGCAAAAGTGCCCCTCCAAAACACCCTCGCCCATTAGCAAGATTGTGAACCTTCTCGAAATGGAAAACTATCCCTCGAAAGCACAAATACCCCTCTCGCAATAAAAAAAATTGTGCCCCTCTCGAGTTGGAAAATTGGCCATCACAAACAATAGTGCTCCTCTTGAGATAAATTATCGAGATGGGAAACCGCCCCTTGGAAAAAAAAACGATTTGAAACGAAAAAACGAAAAAACAAGTGCCCCGCTCGCAACATTAAAACTGTGCCCCTCTTAAGATGGAAAAGTGGCCTGTAAACAATAGTAGTGCTCCTCACGCGAATATCAACTGTATGGCCATCAAAAGCAACAGAGCCCCCCTCACGATAAAAAAAAATGGTCCCTTTGTACCCTAACTAGTCAAATTCAAGGGCGGACCAGGAGAGGTTACGGCCAGGAGTGTGCCGAAGGGCTCTCTTAAGTGAAAAATTACCTTTATTACTTGAGAATAATACGGTTGTCAAGACTATTTCAGGAATAGGCCTACACGGTAATTTAATATTTTGAGTCAGGGAATTAATATATTTTTAAAAGTGTTTAACGCAAACAGTTTCCAAAAGTGTTTATCACTGTTGTTAGAAGGTGCCCTTTTTTTGCTGAGCAAGTGCTCCTTTTTGGTGATGCCCCTGACTAAAACATTTTTAAGGCGGAATTTTAAAATCACTCATTATTGTGGGAAAAATCCAAATCCAACGAAAAAAAACACAAAAAATTGTGTTGTGAATGGAAGATTTTGTATGACAACAAATCCAAAGCTAAGAAGAGTGGTTACTAGATCCGATAACGTATGGTTTCCGGAGGCGCAGTCAGGTTCCTGCCAACACAAATCTTTCCTTCCTTTGTGTTCATACAAATGCATTGAATTTCTCCTATCCCGGTATTCAGTATAGCCTTCAAACCATTCATTACCACACAGCGTCTTCTCTAGCTTGCGTGACTCCGAACTCAAATCCTTCTCTTTACATTTAAATAAATTCCACACAAGAAATGGTTAAGTCAAGAGGAATGATCTGCGAGGGCCTAAATCCCATTTTCTATTCCTTATTAACGATGTCTTGATGGATTTAGGCGGTCAGTGGCCGTGTCACGCACAGAGCCCTGTTTGACCTCAGTTTCTTGTCCCAAGGTCACGCACGCATGGCCCAAAGCCCACGCGAGATTTGAAGGAGACTGTATTTTGAGACTACAGAAAAACGCGAAAAGTACCTGGATACATGCACTGTTTGATGGCTAAATGACTGTTCTACCCTGTATTCAACTTCTTCCACAATAGGTTTAACCATTCATTCCCACGCAAGGACTTCTCTAGCTTGCATGACTGCTTGCATTCAACCACCAAAGTATCTCAATTATCCCATCTTGGAGCCAAATTCGCCCCCCCCCCCCCGGCCGCCTGAAAAGCCTGGCGTCTGTCTGTCTGAATTGTGCATCTAAAACCTGTTAACAGTGTTCAGTTGGGAAGATTTTTTTTCTGTCTTGTGGCGCATTAAGCGCTGTCTGGCGTAAAGTATTTTCGCCAGGCAAAAGCAGGCTTTATTAAAAATCTGTACAGAGCGTGTTAAAATTGCAGACAATGATCAAAACAGGTTACCATTAAGTTTGTGTTAGTGCTCTATAATCCATAAAATCATTGTTACTTGGCCTAGAAACTTCCGTTTTAGGCCCTCCAAGATGGAAAAGATTCCTGATCCATTAACGTCCTTCGGACTGAAACTTTTCTTTGTTATAATGGATTGATTCAGCCGTTAATGTGAATAACGTGATTCTATCTGATACACTGGTGCAGATTGTGGACCAACCCACTCGCAACAACGCTATTCTGGATAAAATTGTGACAAATTTATACATGATCCCTATAACCCTGTGGATGTTTGCTCCCCTTTCGCACTAAGTGACCACAGGTGTGTCATCGCAAGGCCCAAGGAGCGTATCGCTCGCAAATTGCCAAACAAAACGGTGAAATTGCCGATAACGGAATGGTGAAATTGCCGAATTGAATGGCAAAAATTGCCGAATTGAATGATGAAATTGTCAAACAGAATGTTGAAATTGCCGAATTAACTTAAGCGCTGTCTAGTATTTTCGCCAGGCTAATTGCTGAAAATCTGAATAGAAGGGATTGAGATTGCAGACAATCAAAATAATTTACCATTAATTGCGCAGTACAGTACGCGCACGCTGTATGGCCTGTCCACGGAGCTCTCAAAAGAGGTAAAACGCGCCCTCTTTTGTTGGCGCACGGATTTAATCAACCGTTATTCTCAGACTGATATAAAACACACAACACACAATCATTTTTGTTTGTATGTAATTTGCCACAGCTATTTATTCAACACAACATTGCCAGATACCATGGGCAAACTGGCAAAGAAATACAATATGATGGGATACACCAGATCCCCTGGGTTGACCAGACCCAGCCATGAAAAGGGCACACCAGGCCCATTAAATATAGGTCACACAATATCCTGAAATTATGGCACACCAGGCCTATCATAGGTCACACCATACCTAGGTCACACAATACCCTGAAATTCGGGAAATTAAACCAGACCCTGGTACATAGAGCACCAGACCCAGCCATGAATAGGGCACACCAGGCCCACCATATATAAGTCACACCAGACCCTAATAAAGAGGGCACACCAGACCTGGTTACAAATGGAAGAAAATCTTGAATACAAATACCAAAATTGAACTATTAATAAACAATTCAGGCACAGGATGTTCCCCCGCTTAACGCAAGGAGCTACGGGAGGAATGGCCCTAGTGAACCTCCAGGGAGCCATTACAGTGCCTGTCACAACAAATTTAAACTGTCATAGTATATTTACATTGTATGAGAGGGCAATTAATAGTGAATGTAATACAGTTATTGGCCGTTATGATAGGGCAATGAAAATGTTTAACCTGTGTCTGTCTAATTCCCGCCAGAAAATCATCCCCCGACTGAACCAACGGGAGGAATAATCGCCTAATTGGCACACATCCAAGAAACGAATGGAATTCAGTAAGGCATGAGACATTTATTGCTACTGCAACAGAAAAGCTAAAAAAGATTTTTGTCCCACACGAGTTGCCTACGAATGGAGGTGATGGGGTGGAGGTGGGCAATTGAAAGAAAATTATACTCATTGTGCATCACACAATGGGCTGGGACAAAGTGAGGCTAAAGTTGCACTTTCTTTTCCCACCAAAGTCAACCAGTAATATAAGAAGCTGCCCCATTGGCTGAAAGTTCGATGTAACATGAATTCTCATT